GGATAGTGAACATGCCTGTATCATTGCATTTTTCGGGGAGTTTCTTTTGAAAAATTGCTGAGACACGTTCACTAACCTTGACCTCTTGTTTTGCCTTCAATTTATCTTTTCTTTTCATTGTACATAGTTCTTTTAAAAACTTTGCATAGCGGCAGACACTTTTGATTAGTTTAAAGAGTGGGATATTTACCTCACAATTTGCGCGATTGTCTCATAGATGTCTCGATCATTCTCTAGCTTCCTTGTGTCCTTCAACGCCTCAGGGAATGGAGGGAGTGGCTCATATGATGACAGCGGAGGAAATTTTGTCTTTGTTGGCTCCTCCTCCTTGTGGTTAACCTCATCTTTGTCAACCTTTTCTTCTTCAACTTCCCTTGCTTGCAGTTCTGGGCCATTCCTTAACATGATGGCATTGACTTGTTGTCTTGGGTTCTGCTCCGTTTGGGAAGGGAGCCTACCCGAATCTTTTGCTTCAAGTCGATTCACAGCATTCGAAATTTGGCTAACTTGAGTTTCCAAATTTTGAATGCTTGACTTTGTTTCTTGTTGAAATTGCAACACGTTTTGTTGCAAGGTGCCCATGCTCGTCGCAAGAGTTCGAATCATGTCCTCCGTAGACATACTAGATTGAGAAGATGGGTTGGATTGCGGAGGGTTTCCATACCTCAAGTTTGGATGATCTCTCCATCCCAGATTGTATGTGTTGCCATGAGGGTCGTACCTCCTTTGACCTTGGAACCCCAAAGCATTGACTTGCTCGAGATTCTCCTCGTGTAATGTTGGGCAGGAATCGATTGGATGCCCTTGTGTCGAGCATATGCCGCAGACCTTGACTTCTTGGGTTTTTGGATTTAAGAGAAAATCTTTTACCAAAGAAGTCAAGCTGGTCACTTGACTTGTCAAGCCGGTCACTTGACTTGTCAAGCCGGTCACTTGACTTTCCAACGAGTTGTTGGATTCTGCTGCCATAACTCTACGAGTTCAGGACCGCCCGTTATAGTGTCTAGAGTTCTCGGCCAACTTCGAGATGAGATCTCTTGCTTGCGAAGGGGTTTTGTTGACAATGCCCCCTCCACACGCTGCATTTACCATGCGGCGATCTTGATCCACAAGACCATCTTAAAAGCAGAGAATGAGGTCTTGTTCGGTGTATCCGTGATAGGGGCAACTAGCACATAGCTTATTGAATCTCTCCCAATATTCATATAGAGATTCATCATCTTTTTGTTCAATGTTGCTTATTTGCTTCTTGAGTGATGATGAAATAGAAGCGAAGGTAGTACCTTTCAAGGAAAGCCTTCTTCATTTGTGGCCATGTAGTGATACTTCCCGAAGAAAGATAGAAAAGCCAATCCTTCACGGTGTCTTTCAGAGAAAATGGAAAAGCTCTTAGTTTGATTTGCTCTTCCGAGACACCGTTGGGGCACATGCTTGTGCACACAATATGGAACTCCGATAAGTGTTTGTTCGGATCTTCCCCTCGTAGTCCATGGAAAGATGAAAGTAGATGAATGAGCCCAGATTTTAGCTCGAATGTGACCCCTGTATTAAGAGTTGGGAAAGTGATACATAGGGGTTGTTGATTAAGATTCGGAGTCGTGAGCTCCCTCAATGTCCTCGTTTCATTAGCCATAGTGATTGGCTCTTCGGTCTCGCTAGATTGAGAACTAGCATTTGATGATTCTCCCGAGTCGGAGCTTGAGAATTTATTTTTCAACCGCTCGAGAGTTTGTTCTATTTCAGGGTTTGAGTGGTAGGTGATTTCGTTCAGTGAACGATATTTAACCATATACTACAAAGCTCAGAAGAAATAGAAATCTTTATACTAGAAACTATATTTTTTTTTCTTAAAATAAAATAAAAAGAAAAATTAATTGCCTTTCCCCGGCAACGGCGCCAAATTTGACATGCACTTTGTCATGTGTGCACTCAAAATAAATTCAATACTAACAACTATACATAGTATAGCGTAGTAGAGTTCGTATCCACAGGGAAAGGAATAACTCTCTTTTTATGATCCAGTAAATAAAGGAGGGTTTTGATTTTGTGATTTAATTAAACTAAACACGAAGATGAACGAGTTATATGGGTTTTAATTCAAAGATAACAGGGACTTGGCATTGCTATTTCCACTTGTTGATATATTTTAGTCGATCATTGTTATATCTATAACTTATCTCCTCTCGAATACTCAATCGAGGAGTATATCCAATTCATCGAGGATAGCTATTAACAACGACCGTTCATTAATAACCCTTACTATTAGTCAAGTATAGAACAACGTCATATACCGACTTGATAGTAGCATTTAATCTCTTAACTCCTTGATGAAATCAATTGAGATTGATAACCTCAACACAATGGTTTTGGTTTAACCAACAAAATTAATCCCTCTTAAGTTTATTAACCACGACCGTGCATTAATAAACCGAAGTTACTTACTTGTGAAACTATCAACGATTAACCATCGGTTCGTTGATCGTTTCTAGTAATAATTAATATATGAAACAAAACTAGTTGATCCTTTAAGTAATGTTCAAAATATTAATATGAAATATGAATAGGAATTAATTAATACTCAAGGAAGAATATTAAAGAAAATGAATCCTACTATAGTTAATATCAAGATGTTAACTAATTGTCATCTTAGTAACACTCCCCAATATTAACATAGAGGAAGGAATAGCTATTACTAAGACCAATGTCAAGATGTTAACTAATTGTCATCTTAGTAACACTCCCCAACATTGATATAGAAATAGTATTTAAAGGAAGAATTAATATTCAAGGAAAGAAGTTAAGAAAATAACTCACAACTTTAATAATCAACAAGCTTCAAGAGCAATACCAAGAAATGGAAGTTTAGATCCTCATTTGAAGACTAACATGCTAGAAGAAATATAAAGAAATGCTATTCTAAACTGAGCTTAAGAGTATAAAGGGATTGGTAATCTAATTGTGAAGGGAAGGAGGTGTATTTATAGGCTTTTTGGGAGTGCAGTTCGGGTACCCGATCGAGTATTGGTGTATACCCGATCGGGTATGTGTAAAAAGGGTAGTTTTGAGGCATACTCGATCGAATTCGGAGTGAAAATAAAAGGTATACCCGATCGGGTATATAGGTGTACCCGATCGGGTATTACAATTGATCGTGGCCAAATCTTCGCCTGCACACCCTTTTGTCTGCTGAATGATCTGAGTGAAAGTCCAGTTGGTACCCGATCGAGTATATGTTATACTCCACCGGGTACAGGTCAAAAATCAGGATTTTGCCTCCTTTTTGTCTTGTACTCTTGCACCTTCCTTCACCAATGATCATTTGATTGATCTTGGATTTGTTTAAGCTCAGAATGATCCTAATCTAAATGAATTACAACTAAATAACAAACATAACTATTACACTAAAAGTGTGTAATTTCCGAAATATTAAACAACCAAAACTAACTAAAAACGTAAACATACACACAGAAATTACACGCGTATCATATGTAAGCTGTAGTTTTCAGTGCCTCTCCCCAGAGTGAATCTGGTAAAGTAGGACTAAAAATGTTTGAAAATTCCAAAATAGGACTGCTATGATTTTATTCCCAAAATAGGATTAATTACTGTCATGTTTTGGCAGTACGGCCAGTACCAGACTTCAAACATGGCAGTATTTTCCAAACTTGACAGTAATTACTTCTATTTTCGGAATAAAAAACATGTCAGTCCTATTTTGGAATTATCAAACAGTTTTAGTCCTATTTCGGGAACTTTCCCTATGACAAATCATACTCCTAACCATGTCCTTCAATGTACGGTTTCGTCTCTCAGCAACACCATTCATGCTAGGAGTTCCAGGCATAGTGTACTGAGGAACAATCCCACACTCCTCTAGGAATTTAGCAAATGGACCTGGACGTTGTTCACCGGAACCATCATATCTACCATAGTATTCACCACCACGGTCAGATCTAATGGTTTTAATTCTTTTGCCTAATTGATTTTCAACTTCGGCCTTATAAGATTTGAACACGTCTATTGATTGGGACTTTTCATGAATGAAATAAAGGTAACCATAACGAGAGTAATCAAATGAACACGTCTATGAATGTGATAAAATATGTTTGACCATTTCTACATGGTGTAGGGAATGGTCCACAAATGTCTGTATATATCAATTCTAATAGATCTGAAGCTCTCTCGGCACCTAATCTCCTTTTGTTCGTTTGTTTTCCCTTAACACACTCAACACAAATATCCGAATTTGAGGAGTCAAGAGAATCTAGAATTCCATCAGACACAAGTCTCTGAATTCTTTCTTTAGAAATATGTCCTAAACGCTTGTGCCAAAGTGATAATGAATTCTCATTGGTTAATTTTCTTTTAGTACCACGAGTACTTACATGCAAGGTTTCATTATATGAGGCAATTATATCAAGTGAATATAGATTATCATAAACCGATAAAAGACCGGTACCAATAAGCTTTGAATCTTGAAATAGACTGAACTGACTATTTCCAAATGAACAACCTAGAATAACCAAATTTGTCCAATGCATAAATAGAAATTAAATTTCGCCTAAATGACGGTACAATAAATGTCTCTTTCAAATGCAAATAAAAATCAGTCTTTAATAATAATCTAAAAACACCGATAGCCTCAACTTCAACCCGCTTGCCATCACCGACATAGATGTATCTTTCACCATCAATTGGTTTTCGGCAGCTCAGGCAACCCTGCATGGATACACTTATGTGAGTAGTAGCACCGGAATCTACCCACCAAGTGTCCTTGGGTACCGAAATTAAATTAACCTCAGAACAAACAAGAGCAAGAGACATACCTTTTTTGCATGCCAGGCGTGGTACTTAGTGCAGTTCTTTTTCTTGTGATTAGTCCCTTTGCAAAAGAAGCATCCAGATTCCTTAGTTTCTTCCTTAGTTTCCTTATGATGCTTTCTTCGAGGCCCTGAATTTACAGCTTCCTTAAATTTCCATTTCTTGCTGTCCTTAGAGGTAGATGCCAAATGAGCACTTTCAGTCTTATCTTGCTTTATTCTCTCTTCCTCTTGAACACAATGAGAAATGAGCTCATTGAGAGACCATTTCTCCTTAATGCATTTGTAAATGACTTTAAATTGATTAAATTGAGAAGGAAGAGAGATCAAAACTAAATACACAAGTAACTCCTCAGTTAAAATGAGCTTAAGTGCACTTAGTTTTGAAGCAATATGAGACATTTCCAAAATGTACTCCCTTATGTTCCCTTTGCTTTTGTACTTCATGGAAATAAGAGTGCTCAAAAGAGTACTAGTTTCCGCCTTTTCGTTTTTAGCAAAACGCTTTTCAAGTTCGGCAAGGAACGATTTGGCATCATCCTCATCAGACATATATAGTGCCCCTGAATGATTCTGGAATTGCACGTTTCATGATCATTAGACTCATGCGGTTTGAGCGTTCCAACCTCTCCATCTCCCTCTTTTCATCAAGGGTAGATGTATCCTTAAGAGCGGCGGATTTATCAGTCCGGAGTGCAAGGTCTAGATCCATGCAACCGAGAACAATCATAACGTCTCTTTCCATTCCCTAAAATTCGTGCCGTTAAGCACATGGATGCTATTAATATTAGCAGATATTGTAGCAGCTGAATTGTTGACTGAAAGAGAACAAAAATAATATAAATGATATGCTCTAGAAACTGAAATTAACTTGATAATTAATTTTAAATTTAAATATTAGCAATCCTCATCACTAGATACCTAGTGCAACATCTAATCTTGTCTTTGGACATAAATTAGACTTGCAAGTGATACTCTTGGCGTAATAATAAAATTTTGATAATAAAATCACGTTCAAATATTAAGCCTTTCTTTGGACCGACTTAATATTCACATGAAAACCTCATAATTATCACAAATTTTATTATCACAAATGTACTCAAATTTCGGCTAAATAATAACCTTCCTTTGGGCCGATTATTATCCGCATGAAATAAGAAGTACACAATCATCTTAATATATGAGTTAATTAATTTCAACATGAGAGGCTACTTTGGCAGCATGTTGTGTCAATTAACCAACCCAAATATTAGACATGCTAATATTAAATCAAAAAATCTGAAAAATAAAATTGGACGAATTTTACTCAATCACATGCAAATGTGTTATGTATAATGATAATTTGTAAAATCCGTACCCAATCGCTGTGCGATCGCAAAATATGATTTATACATCCATAACACATAATACATATTTTTCAAGTCGTAAGTCATGATCACTAGCACAAGTAATTTATTTCAGTAATATCAAAACATATATTTCCAAATTAAAAAGATATTAGCCGTAATTACATATATGTACTTAATTACCAAATCCGATAATCACAAATATACACATAATAAACAAATCCATAAAAATACCAAAATTAAAACACCCAAAATTTAGAAAGTACTCCGTAATAGTCAAGACTCAAGACCAAAAGGGAAATATACTACGTATGTAAATTGGTCTTCCATATGTATATCAATTTGCCAATTTTCAAATACCAATACCCATTAAAACTGAAGGGGCCATTCACGATTCTCATAAGTCATAATCAATGAACAATTAAGCATTACACAACTTTAATATTCTTTTCGTAAGAAAAATCAATCGACGGAAACTGGCCGATTCCAATAAAAGAACTCAAAACATGATGTAGAGCAACCCAAAAAATTATTCTTTTCGTAAGAAAAATCAATCGACGGAAACTGGCCGATTCCAATAAAAGAACTCAAAACATGATGTAGAGCAACCCAAAAAATTCTAGTCCCAATACAGTTATACTGAATTGCGACATGCTTATTCCAGATTGTCTTAGTTAGGTCTAAAAGCCAAGGCAACGAAACAAAATAAAAAAAAGGGAATTTAATGATGTGGCTGCAAAACTCATTTACCGTAGGTTTTATTTATGAATTCAATCGCTATAAGCGAGAACATCAATGAAAACACAAATACAATTCCATCGCAAATCAAACTTAGTCGGCAGATTAAAAAAAATTCAGATATTCAAACCAGTGCCGATCGATTCACAAATCACAAAAACAAAACAAAATTGAATCGGCATGTTAAAGGTGAAATAGAAACACAAGGATTCGATCTTCAGCTTATTCTAAATAATTCAATATGAAGGAGATTCTGATACCATTTGTTGGAATAAATCCGATAATACTTTAATCTTTATATTGAGATTATCTAGAGAACTGACTGAGCGAAAGCGTACCTGACTCTATTGGAGATGATCTTTAAAGATTCGGGAGACGGAGGCTAGGGTTTGCGTCTTCTAGTTGATACACACCCTCGGGAATTATCTCTCTAGCGATGGGATGCAGAAGGACGGAATGACATGTTCAACTAGGGACCATAACCCCTCTATTTATAGAGAATACTTAACCCTAATGAGCTCATCATTAATTAGGTTAAGCCCATGGGTTTCTACACAATTGGGCCCTATACCTTATTAGATAACTTATTAGCCAACTTAAATTAATATCCATACACTACAACAAAAGTGCTCATTTATGACTGGGGAGACCGTGGTTAAAAACTAAAATCCCATCACTAAAAGTTTTTAATGACGGTAAATTTCCCGTCACGACCCGTCACTAAAGCTTCCGTAGATAAAGGTAAATACTAAATAGTGACAGGATATAGTCCCGTCATTAATAAGTATATAATGAGAGTCTATTTACCGTCACTACAAGGTTTTTTAAGACAAAATATTTATTTATCAAAAACATTACATTTGAATTCAAATATCCGTAAAAGATATAAATTGCTCTTTTATAAAATGCTTATATGATGAAATGCTTATATATACCATAAAGCAAATTAGTAATAGGCATTAATAAAAACTTTAAACCATGTAGCAAAATAAACATTGTGCAAACTAAGAATAGTTTTGCAACAAAAGGTTAAAGGTTGATCCGTATGCAAAAGTCCAAAGCAAAAACTAACAAAAACTAATTCATAAACAAGTAGCAAAGTATCTCCAAAGCCAAGCTTCATCCCCAAATTCCATCAACCCAGCCTCTTGATAGAATAACTTCAAATATCAGCACCTTCATCCAATTCACTAGCTAACTTCAGCTGCATTCTTCTAAGCACCTATATAATATACCAATATATAAAATCAAAATGTTATCCATCAACTTATTATCGTAACACATTCTTAAGTCAATTAACACTTGCAAAAATATGCCCTGTCCACCAGTTTTTAATGTTGAAAAGCAAAGAGCCATAACTTTTTTTAAGCCACCAAATTAGTTTTCTAAGCCATTGTTTTCTAATTAGATTACTAAGCAACATATTCAATCATAGATTAATTACTTGGTAGCCACCAGATTATTGAACTAGCCAATCAAAATCTTACCTTCACAGTTTAAGTAATGAAAACATCTAAGAAAATAACAAACTAAACTGACTTGTCACTACAAGCAAACCTATTAAAACTCACATAGATTAACTACACGTCCACTAGGCTCACCCTCTAACAAAATAACATTGCAAATATAATCCTGTCATCTGAACCAACTTTTTCTTTGATACATGTCTTTCCACATTGAATAATATATGTAAAAGGAACATGGATTTGTATTTTACCTCAATATCAAAAGCAGAGCATGCACGTTGCTATCCGCAATTGTAGCTAAAAAACCTGCAGAAGTTTTCATTTTATCGTTATATTAGAATAACCTCCCAAAGTAAAACAAATTACTTATATCTCAAATAGAAAGAAACAAAAATTGTTATGCCTGAGTATCATTAACCGGAGTTGAAATTTGTTCTTCCAAGGCTTCACTTTCTCCAGATTCTATTCGATTTAACCTGCTTTCAATTTTATCCACGCGATTCTTAAGTTCACGATTTTCTTCATCCTTCTTAAGGAGCTTTGCCTCCAGATCATTGATATATGATGTTTTGGAGTCATTGAAGTGTTTTCTCTTAACTCCACCCCCGTAAGCAAACACATGACCATGACGTTGTGGTCCAAAATGTTTTTCAACAACCTCAAGATTTGAAAGTGATGGATTTGACTTAATAGTCTCCACAATTTCATCCTATCAATGTTTATGGAATCAAAAGTCACCATGAAAATAATCAACACTTGAAATTATGCAAGAAAGACAAATAGTTAACTGTTCTTACATGTTTTAGAATAGAGATGACAAATGATTTTATTTTGTATAGACTGATATACTTAAGCACGCACCGGAGAATGCTAGATTAATTTCTCATGATAAAAAAAATCTTAGACCTATATATTTTCAGATTTCCTTTATCAAGTCATATTTCAATCAACCATGAAAAGTTTATAGCATTTAACAAAATAAGCAAGTTGATGCCAAATTACTCACATACCATCACTAGTCTTCACATATAATTGGATATTTGTGTTGTCAATTAATAATGCGAAAAACAAGAAATTATTCTAGAAAGTGGTGAAATAGTGATATAACAAAAATATAAATTATATTCATTTAAATGAACTATTCTTATAAAAGTACTACATAGTATATCTTAATTATATAAAGTCAACCTGGATAGCTATATCACAATAAATCTGCTTCCAATGAAATTAAAGTTTCTTATGGATTTTGTTGAATATTGTTCTTGGGTTCATGCTTGTTTGGGCTGAGGTGCTCTATCTTGAATATTCTGTTGCTTTTTGGATGAAAAAAGGTACTCTATCTTGAATATTCAACTACACTTGTAGTTGTACACTCATTTACAAATAAAACAGGGGGTGCACCGTGTACACATAAAAGTGATAAAACCAATTGGGTCTCTTGTTTTTACAATCAATGAACACAAGTCACAAACAATAATACAAAGAAGATATGTGAGCCACTAAACCAAAAAAATAATATACGGAGTAGGAACTTTCTAAATAAAAAAGAAAAAGGTACACATGGATAGAAATTTACCAGGTGGAAGAGACGACCGTAGATGCTGCTATCAACTCCGGAATGAAATCCAGAAATTGATGAATACTTCTTCTCACTTTAACCGGCTCTGGAAAATCATCACTTAGGGTTGTGAAGATGGTGAGGGATATAGCAAAACTGGACAAAATCGGTGCTCAAATTAATGGAAGAACTTAATTAGGGTTGTGAAGATGGCGATGGATATGCTCGATCTAACAGCTGGGCGAAGAAAGGAAACGAAAGAGACAAATAAAACTAGAGAGACGAATTGGAATGAAAAATTTGGAGCGACTTTAAGGCCTGGGCGGGATGTTCTTAGAATTTTGGCGCTTAAAATTTGGTCCCTAAATATGAGGGAACAGGAGAAACCCATAGAGAAAAACCTAAAGCTCTGAAAGAATACTCCGTAGAAAGCTTAGCAGAACTAATAGTGAGAGTACATTTTTTTATATGATCAATAATGAGAGTATTACTTCCTGAAAATACAATTTTGTCATTAAAAGTGTACTCTTTTAATGAGAGGATATTTTCTGTTATAACAAATGCCCAAATTATACATTTAATGAGAGGATTTCTAACCCATCATTAAATGTTTGTAGTTAAAAGTCCAATTTCTTGTAGTGATAGGACTACTAATTTTTGGCTAAATATAAGATAGCATATAACATAAAATTAACCCAATAAATAATATATTGTGAATATTATACGTAGTATATAGTATAAGTCTAATAATCTAATAATCTAACAGTAAATTCTACTCGGTGACTGTACTTCGTATATACCCTCCTGCACCAGTACCCACCCAAACACCCTTCATAAATCTTAACCGCCAGCTTTCTTTTCTCTTCTCTCTCTCTCTCTCGATTTTATCAGCTAGGAATGGCGGAGACCTGCGGCGGCGAGGGGCGGAGCAGCGGTGTGAGGCAGTATGTCAGGTCAAAGGTGCCTCGACTCCGGTGGACTCCTCATCTTCACTCCTGCTTTCTTCAGGCCGTCAATGCCCTTGGCGGCCACCACAGTAAGCACCGCTTTCTCTTTCTCTATATCTTATTCTCTCTCTAAACTTTTTGGGAATCAAAATTAAATCTTGAGTTGCCGGCGGCAGAGGCGACGCCGAAGCTGGTTCTCCAATTGATGAACATTCCCGACCTGACCATCTCTCATGTCAAAAGCCATCTTCAGGTTTTAATCAAATTTTATACTACCTCCGTTCTTAAATAAGTGCAACATTGCAAATTTTACACTATTCACATGTTCTACTTTGACCACATTTTATTTATTGATGTATCAATATATATATTTTTGAAAAAAATATTACTAAATTTGTCTCATTGTATATTTTCAAAATATGATTTTTTTTAATTTTTTACTAAAAGAGAGTTGTATATATATTAATGGTCAAAGTTGTGTCTCGCCAAATGTGAAATGTTGACTGTTGTACTTATTTAAGAACGGAGGTAGTATTCTTTTAGGATTTCGCATCTCATACGGAGTATTTTGTATATGATCATTTCCTTTTGAAACAGATGTATAGGAGCTTGAGGCGGAGGCCTGGTTTGGCAGAGCAAGGTAGTGATTTTTCATGCGTATCTTTTCCATTTCTTTTCAAGATCTTCATTCGAAAAAGGGATTGCTTTTTTTTTTTTATCTTTCGTTTTTTTTTTTGCGGCGGAGTTAATGAAGATTCCCAAAATGGGAAAAACAAACAGGCCCTTGCCGGTGCAGTCAACCATCCACCTTCTGCTTCCTCTCCTTCTTCATCATCGTCTCTCCTCCTTCACAACTTCTCTCTTCCGGCGGCGGCACGGCCGGTAACTTCCCACCGGAAAAGAATGTGCGGCGGCGGCGAAAAATGTATCTTTAGTGGTGGGGTGAAGGAGAATAATGGGAAAGGTGGTGGGGGAGAGGGATTAAGAAGGGAATGTCCGAGTCACAGTCTTCTAGACTACGTCTCACTCGGAGCTCAGCCCCTCCCTTCGTCTTACCTGAGTCTTCATCAGCAAGAAGTTGACTTTTTCAAGGTACCCTAATTAATTAAATAAATTATTTTTCTCAAATTTCTCCCATTTTGTTTCCATTTAAAACTGGAATGTTGAACTAACTACGGAGTAATAAAGTTTGATAAGACGGAAGACTGTAACTTGATTTTGTCGGATCATACTTGGTATATATATATTTTCTCCGTTTTTTAGTTTCAAATCTGTGAATTTTCAGGTTCTACTTTTTTACTACATTGAATTAATTATATTATTATAAATTACATTTTTTAAAAATCTTTTTTAAATTCTTCTCATTTAAAATTTTCAAAATCTTATTTTTTTAGTACCAAAAAGTGAAGTGAAAGATATTAATGATCAAACTTATGCATTCTTAAATGGAAAAAGTGGAATATTGAAACTAAAAAAGAATAGAGGAACTATATACTGAGTATGTGTTTTTTATATTACTTGGAGAGGTACTTGATCTGCAATCCTACATCCGTTAATGCAATGTGAGATTTGTTATATTGCTTTAACACATTTTTTGTTTATTGTATATGTGTTGTAGTGTTGGGTCTTATTAAATTTATTTTTTGCCATTAATGGAAACTTTATTGTAAATTTATAGTAAATGGAATATTTTATAAAGTGTAATTAATAAAGGTGATGAGTAATCTTGTCGATGAGTAATAAAAAACTATTCATTCGTATTAATTCGTTAATGACGGGTACTAATACATACGTACGGAGTATATAATTGAGAGTAGTTGTGATTTAAGAGCAGTAAAGGCTATGCATTAACTGCGTTAGATGAGTAAATCCTGCATCTAAATGAGGGCCGTTTTATAACAGGAGAAGAATATTTGACTGTAGTCTTCATTTTTCAGTTGACAGTGTTCCTTCTTTTGGTACTCCCATGGGACCCAGGGGTCTACTGCCCTTCAACATTTTGTTTTTGTATATACATATGAAAAATAAATTTTGACCTTCCAAAAAATATTTTGTTTAAATTATCGTTCTCCCAAGATGAATTTCCTGGATCCACCTCTGGATATTCCCTAGATAAATTTAATTGAAATTACTAGGAAAAATCATTTTGTACACTTCATTGGTATAAGTCCCCTATTTTGCCGCTCTACACATTCTCCCTATCTTTTTTTTTTTATTCCCTCTGTCCCTGAATTATCTTCTAACTTTCCTTTTTCGTTCGTTCCTAAATTATCTCTCTTTCCCTTTTTGACAAAGAATTTGTGCTTCACAACAATTTCTACACATTTCCCTTTCTTCTACACAACTTTTCACCACACAAAACGCACTTTCTTAATCCCCTTGTTGGGTCAAAAGATGAGAAAAAACAGGGACAGAGGGAGTAGTTAAATTCGACTTTTGAAGTCAATAATGTTAAATTTAAATTGATTATATATTTGTACACGGTAGTATTGAAAGATAATAGAAAGTTGTTCTTTGTTAAAAACATTATTATAAGAAAAGTATAAATTTATTGGGTTTCACATAAATTAATAAATATATTATTACCATCTTTGAACGGAAAAGTCAAAGAGGGGTATAAAAAGGGATAGAGGCAGTAATTTATTTTTGACCAGAAATGTAAGCTTTTCTGAAAAATGTACTAAATTATCTATGTAACGTATAAAAAGGCTTTTTTTGAAACATGTTATTTGACCGTAACGGATGATTGAAACGTTGCGGGCTATTACTAATGTTGCGTAATGGATGACAATAACTACTCGACCGTAACGGATGATCGAAACATATTACTCGACCGTAACAGTTAGCCGTTACGGACTATTACTAATGTTGCGCAACTCAGTTTTTCTTTGACTGCATTTACTGAATTGACTGATTTTGTTGAAAGTTACGTTTCAAACATACAATGATATATATTTTCTTAAAGACGGTGTATAACGTTTAAGGTTATAAATTATATATAATTTTCATGTGAGATTTAGTTTTTGTAACACTAAAATTGACTGAATCGATTGAATTTGAAGAAATTGTGACTGAAGCGGGCATCATCATCATCATCATCATCATTCATCCATTACGTTTGAGTGATTCGTTTCACACATAAAAAATATAGGCTTTAAAGGCAGTGTGTAACTGTTACAAACTATTACTAATGTTATGCAACCCAGTTTTATCTTTAACTTCATATATATTAGTCATTAGAATCTGTTTAGTAACATTGAACTTTACTAAATTGACTAGTTTTATTGAATGATACATTTCTAACCTACAATGATATATAGGCTTTCAAAAATGGTGTATAACGTCTAGAGGTTACAAATTATGAATGATGTTGTTGTAAGATTCAATTTTACTTTTACCAAAAAAAAGATTCAATTTTAGCAATATTGAAATTGTCTGAATCAATTGATTAAAATTTTGAGTGAAGTAAACGATATTGTTATTCATCACTGGTTAAGGTTGAATGATTCGTTTCACACATGAAAAATATAGGCTTTTAGGGGGTGTTGTTGTTGTTGTAACGTTTAGTAGCGACAGAGTACTACTAATGTTGCGCAACTCAGTTTTGTCTTTAACTCCTCTTTCGAGTCTATTTAATAACATTGAAATTTACTGAGTTGACTAGTTATGTTGAAATATACATTTCAAATATACAAATATACCATGATATACAGGGTTTTAAAGATAGTGTATAATGTTTAGAGGTTACTGAATAATTTTCCTGTGAGACTGAGATTAAGTAACACTGAACTTGACTTAAGCGACTGAATGTGATGAAATTATGTTTGAAGCAGATGATATTATAATTCATCATCAGTTACGGCAGAGCGATTTGTTTCATACATATAAAATATATGCTTTTAAGGCGGTGTATGACTTTTAGTAGTTATGGACTATTACTAATGTTGCATAACTCACTTTTGTCTTTAACTCCATTTTAGAATCTATTTAGTAATATTGGAATTTACTGAATTGACTAATTCTTGAAATTGATAAAATTTTGATTAATCATTGATTAGTTGAATTCTTGAATCTACTGAATTATGGTAAAAACTTATTTAAACTATTTCATTGTCAAATAAATAAAAAACATTTTAAAAACAACAAAAATGGTTTTCTGTATCAATTTCGATAGATTAAATTAAACTAGAAAAGTAACTTTAACATTTCTTATTTTGATAAATACATGCATGAGATAAAATTATGCATTTATAAAATTTGAGTGCTAAATTGAAAAAAAATTGATTGACAACACTATAATCTTAGTTTAATTAATGCAAGGCCATAATGTACATTTTTATGCATTACATGCAATGTTCTAAAAAGCGTAAGGCGTGCCGAGGCGGCACGGCTAAGTCTTAAGCCTTTGGAGCCTAGGCGGGTTTAGGCGGGGATTAGGCGTGAAAAGGCGTTTTGATTTTTTATCCTTTATTTTTGTTTTCCTAGAGCTATTATAATTATTTAAATTTAATATTAATAAAGATATACAAAAACATCATACTTTTCTCATTTTCAACAAAAAAAGATTTTTGAAGTCCTAAAAACTTGCAAATACGGATCGAGTATAAATTTACCACTTACACAAAAACGACATCAGAATTTTTCGAGTCATAATGATACTCTAATTTACAATAACACTAATTCTAATAATAACAATATTAGAGATTTTCACAAACATTACTGAAATACAATGTATTAATAAAAATATGATTATTAATACTTCAAGTAGCATAATATAATCTGCAACTATGATGATAATTTGAGTATAAAAGTTAGACATAATTTAAGTAAAGTTACTACTATAATCACTTCACTTCAAAAATCACATTTTTATAATCAATCATTATTTTAGTTATAAATATAAAATTATTTCTTCTAATTATGATTATCATTATTATTTAGGATAATAGTATATTACTACGTATCAAACAAAGTTCAGTTTAATAACAAATGGACTTGTTGGTTTTCTCACTTGATGGATGTACGAAGTACTCCGTTTAGAATTTTGGAGTCTTCCTTTAGCATTCAATTCTCCCACACTGAAGGACAGCCAAACTACTCTAACATTTTCTATAAATTATGCTTCTCTCACACGGCTGTTTACTCAAGGCATTCAATTTCCCACACCGGAGGGGAGATGACCTACCCATAACATTTCTCTATAAATTCGACTTCTCCCACATGTTTGTATACCAAAGGTACTCGTGGGCGTTTGACTAGATGTTTGTTTGAACGGTTCAAACTGAGGCCTTGCCTAAGATAGGCGCCTTTTAACACGCATAATTGCTATGCTGGGCGTTAGAGAGACGCATTGCGCCTACTCTCGCCTAGGCGGCGCGTTTCGCCGCTTTTTAGAACACTGATTACATGTAATCTAAAAACTCATACACGTACTCAAGTGGGCCACGTTGACCTCAACTATTACCCGTTTGTACCTTGTGCATTGAATGTTGTCCTTTTTAAAATATGATATTATAAAGTAATTAGACATTTCAGTGTTCCGTTTCAAAAATATATACTGATAATTATTACAAGATATATTGATCTTAAATTAGAGTGATTTTTAAACAATCAATTCTCATAGTAACCAAACTTTTATATATTCTTTCAAAATTAGACAATTTCATGAAGACGAACATCCGTCAAAACTTCAAATCAAATGCTCGCTTTGTCATGTATAAGATAGGTTATTTTTTCTGAAAGGGATATGTTTTTAAAAATAGTAAATGTTATGTAAAGATCTTGTTTTAACTTTCAAAAAGTATGAAAAAGTATTAAGAATGCACAAAATTAAGTTAAAGACGAAATGATCTATAAAAAGATAATTTGAAGAAGTAAAATATGGTAGGAATCTATATAGGAAAATGTTCATATTTTTTAGAAGTTCAAAAAGGAAATGGTATCATATAAAGGTTATTTCATTATTTTGCATATAAATAGTGAAACTCGATCACTCATAACTCTATACAACCTCCAAACCTTGTTCGCAAAAGATGTTGGAGTCATCTAACATGATATGAAAGCATAGTGAAAAAGGAAAGAAAGATAAGAAAAATAAAAAAGAAAAGATAAAATAATAAATAGACAACATAAAGATATCAATAACTCATGCAATAAGGGTTTACAAACATGTTGATTTGTATGTCTTATAAAAATATTGTCATGATAATATTTGATATGTCAAGACATGACAATGTTATTTTAGGATTAGGATATTGTGCTCTCATTTAATATAGAAAATCACTTTTTCATATGGAGAAAATTTCAAATGTTTTAATAAAAAGAAATCATCTAAATGGAAGCAAAAACAAGATATTTTTTAAAAAATAGAGTAATATGAGTATGTGTTTTTTTTTTAAATTAACTAGGAGTAATTACTCTCATTTTGAAACAATATTGTCTCACATTGACATTGTCATATTAGTTTTTGGTAATGCTATATTATTATGGTACGTAGTTACCCTATTTAGGGAAAATACATACTGAGTATTTATGATGTTTAGTAAAAGTGTAAAAAAGTTCTATGTATTTATAGAGTGCAATCCTGTAACGGCTGTAAGTGATAGGACCCGCTGTCCGACTAAATCCATTTGGGGTCCTTCTATGTATATTTTTTTGATGAAATTTTTTAAACATGTTCTTTATTTATCAAGTCTAATTAATTCATGCTCACTAGATTTCAGCTTAAATTCCGCTTAGCTATATATGATCTTTCTATCCAACAAGCTATATAGCTCATGTGAAACTGAAAAAGTACACTCCTATATAACATTTTGTTGAGCTTAAAAAGTAAAAACCCTCTAGACAAGGCACAAGGAAAAGGAACCTGACCTCCTTTTTTGAAGAAAAAAATAACATCAGCAAACCAATCTAAAAATTGATAGAAATCGAGGGTATGCACACAAAATCAAAAATGGGAGAAACATAATACGAAGTAAATGATAACTGTTTAAGAATATTACGAACATGAGACAGAGCACGCATGCTCTCAATTTTTATCAACTAATTCATATCCGCTCCGTCCAATAAATTCCTCCAAGTAAAACTTAGCTCGCAAATCAAAAAATGAGAGTAAATTGGAAATGTATGGTTGTAATTGTATAAGAAAAATGTAAATGAATGTGAGCCACACAATTTTTACAAAAAGGTCAGTTGGAAGAATTTAATTTTATGGGACGATCCAAAAAGGAAAGTTCGAAGAATTTAATGGGACGGAGAGAATAATAGTTTAAGAAAAGAATTAGAGTAAAGAACGAACATCTTAAGTATATACATAAGACCATTTGTAGTGGTCAAGAGTCTAAAATGTTAAATATGGACTCCGTCCATATGAAAACAGTGTTTAGACTCCTATTTTCTTGCATTACATCACCGTCAATAAAGTACACTCAGCATACTTTTTTAAATATCGATTTAGTAAAACATCAATTAAATTATTATACGTAATTATTTTTTGTTTAATTTTTTCCCCTAAATGATTATGAAATAAAGAATACACATTTTGATGTAAGAAAAAAATAAATTTCATTAACAAAATTGTTAATATTATTTTTTAATGTTTTAGTTTTAATAAAGAATAAAATGATTTCATGTAATACTAAGTTATTTATTGAGACTCCATGGATTAAAAATTTGTGTTTGTATTTTCTTGGGATCAAGAAAACTCCAACAGTTAAAATTTGAAAATTGTTTTATACTTTATAATCAGTATACATTACAACATCTATGGTAAAGATTATTACTAGGCTTTGCACCTTTCTGGTTCTTAGATTGTCTGGTTTTGCACCTTTCTTGTTCTTAGATTGTGAGTCTACTTTACTTCATGGAGTATTTTTGCACTTTCCATTTTGGGTTAAAAAACTTATGTGTGATATGGAGTACTTTTTAATTTCATGGTTTTCGTTAATACACAAATTTAAATACAACTTATACTTTTTAACCAAATTGTAGAGATCTTTTCATGAACCAGGACACATTGTAATGTATTCTTTTGTTCTTTTTTGTCATGCTGTAGCTAAGTTACAGAGTCAAGTTTTCTATAAGGCTAGGTTTAGTGTAGCTTTGACATTTGGGAGTACTCATATCTTTTTAACCTTTACTGTTTAGCAAAACTACGCAAAATAAAAATTGAATACAGTAGCATTATTACCTAATAATCAACTGCACATGAATAAATGAAATGTACTGCGTAGTAAAGTTCTCATTAGCCTCTTTTAAGGTTAATGAATTTCGAAGGGGGCCAGGGGTAATGAAAGAAATCGTGCTTAATTTATTAAACTGCTTATCTACTCCTGCATTACAGGCTACTGGTAAGAAGATAAGTCAAAAAATATAAGGATATGCATGATTTGGTGTAACGTCCTTTGACCATGCCTGGCTTGATTTATTAATGTAGACTACACTGCCCTTGTTACTAAGTTAGCTCTACTTTTGTTCACAGTTCAGACTTGAGTTATAATCTGGAACTAGAATATTTTTTTAAACATTTTTAAAAGTTGGCACTATTAATTTGTGCTAAGCTGATGTTGTTCCATATGTTGCTTAGCATAGTCCTTCACTAAATCTGGGATTTGACTTCATGGCTTGCTAAGCTACTGAAAAATATGGATAAAACTAATTTCATTCCAGCAACAATAGTGAAAATAGCTTCTTTGAGTGCTCTCAAAATAAAATCATTCATGGCAAAACAAATAATTTGTTATCTAATAGTGAAAGCATGCTTGTAATGTAAGTTCTTTTTTGAACCTGTCAGTTAACTACATGCTTTAAGTTGTTGTGTACCGATATACAGATCATTCTCGTTTAGGTATATAGTTCGGTGGGTGGGAGGGAATGTAATTGGGCCCAGTAAATAGTACTACGTAATTGATAAATAATGGTGTCATTATGATTATGTTTATTTTTAAAAGTAATAATAACGTTGTCATTTCACCTAAATGAAAGGGAACCTTGATATGAGATGTCTAAAATGGGACTGGGAGCAATATTTGTTTATGTAAGATATAAATGTATGTATTGGCAAAATACTACCAAAATTACTTTTTAAGAAGTTTTAGATTTTAGTTTTCGAAAACTTATTTCACACCTTAGAGAAGTTATTCTCAGTTGACTTCACCATCACAACATCTAGAAATTTATTTTAATTCTAAGTATTGTTTTCAACAGTCAAGAATCGGAATGTAGTGTCAATGACGAGCGTTTGATTTTGCTCATTCCCCCCATCATATGCCCTTTATATATCATATAATTGATCCAACATTATTTGAGTTTCAGGAGGATATGAGGAATGGACACGTGGAACTTGAAAAGTATGTCATAACCAAGTCATTAACGAAACCCCTGGCCTGAAGCCTTCCCTGATTCAAAGTATCAACCTCATGTTGAAGTAAGTCTGTGAAAGCTGGCATGTATTTATCATCTGGGTAGTATAATCATGCCAAAATACTCATGCTTTAAGACTTCCCAAGATTTTTTTCACCATTTAGCTCTACTTGTATCTTATTTACATTCTTCCTTGCTGCTATGATATTTATAGCTTGCTCTAAGGTTGAAGAAAAGCGGTTACATTACTGGATGTTCTGTTGGTGATACTGTGCCATATATCATCTGCTGTGAACAAGTCCGCCATGACTTATTGCGGTCTGTAACGTGTGTACGGAGGACGAAGAATTCTGTTAGTAATCAGTGACACGTGGCACACGATCCACAACAAGTGGAAGTTAGGCATAGCACTCGGGTGATAAAAGATGATATAAGACTGAAAGATTACACCGTTGGGTCAAGTTGGAGGTGAAACTTCTTCCTGAACCCATCTTCTTCATCTCAGATTTTCTCCTTTTCTCAATATTCTCTAAACACTTCCGTTCATTTTATTTCTAAACTAGGTGAAGAATAATGTTGTTGTTCATTGAGAGATGGATATCTGGAGCCAACCACTTTAATTGTTCCGTTGTTTTCTTCTTCTTAATGTTTGAGGCTTGTTTCCAGACAATTGTTGCTATTGATAAATTTGTAGTCGTACTCTTTTTATATATTCTACATTATATCGTTTCACGGTCACTCTTTCTTACACTGTTGAGCTACAGATCATGGCTTCTGCTCCCTGTGAATAGGGAAATCCTACAAGTAGCTCTGTGGGGATTGCTCAACGGGCAAGACATCCCGATGAGCTGAAGAATGATAATACAAAATGGATAATCGACATAGATTTTTACCTTGCACAACAGGTATATTGCTCTATACAAAATTAGCCGTTGCCATTTTTTGTTTTACAAATATTTTATTGTTCGTCTCATGGTATTGGGTTAATTTAACCTTTGGCTGCTAACGTACACTATTTCCACTTTAAGTTCATGATAGGTTTTTGCCACTTGATTTACAAATATGAATCATTTGCCACTGTCGGTTCTTCTGGTCACCTGTATGGCCAATTCTTTCACTATTAAAGTGATCAATACTCCGTATAAAAAATACTGAAAGTGGAAAGAATGTAAAAATGTGCATAAGAGTGCACCAAAAGTGGAAAAGTGAAACTTGGAGACAACTATTATAATAGTTGTGGCAGCAAAGGGGAGAATATTACTAATTAATTTTCTTATTATTATTAGCACTTAAATTAATGCATGTTGCCGTTTCATGTGACCCTTACTCCTACTGTTGTGGTTATTATAGTCGTTTTGGCTGCTTTATTTCCTCACCTATAATCTAGCTTATAAATACTTTATTGTTTTTTATTCCTTATTAATAAATAACAAACTAAGTATTCAACTATTGTATTCATATTACTCATACATTCGCTCAATCTAAACTGAGACATTATTGACCTTACAATGGTCTTGGGCATTACCACGGTCGCGCAACGCGCGTTATTAAACTAGTAATTTACATAAAGGTAAATATATTTGGGGACGGTGTTACATCTTCTCCCCCTCCTCCTCCTCCTCCTCCTCCTCCTCCTCCTTCTTCTTCTCCCCCTCCTCCTCCTCCTCCTCCTCCTCCTCCTCCTCCTCCTTCTTCTCCCCCTCCTCCTCCTTCTCCTCCTCCTCCTCCTCCTTCATCTTCATCCTCCTCCTCCTCCTCTTCCTCTTCTTCCTCCTCCTCCTCCTCCTCCTCCTCTTCCTCCTCCTCTTCGTCGTCGTCGTCGTCCTCCTCTCCCTCCCCCTCCTCCTCCCCCTCGTCTTCTTCTTCTTGTATACTTGTTACTACATTTGGTATCAAAGCATGGGATAGATCATTCAGTTATACACGAAAGAAGTAAAAAAAACACCCAAATATGCAAGGCTCAACAAATGGAAACTCATTTAATCAATTGCCTTTGTTCAAAGGGATTAATTATCACTTTTGGAGCCTGAAAATGAAGACCTTCTTCAAGTCACAAGAACTATGGAGTATGGTGGAGGAAGGGGTTGTTAATGATCAGCCTGAGGAGCCTGATCAAGCCCTTCGAGAGAAAAGAAAGAAAGATGCAAAAGCCCTTTTTCTCATTCAACAAGCTCTAGATGATGATGTTTTTCCACGCATTGCTGCAGCCTCTACTTCAAAGGAAGCCTGGAGTATTCTCAAGTAAGAATACTTGGGGGATAAAAAGGTGATCATGGTCAGATTGCAATCTCTCAGGAGGGAGATGGAGAACACATGAATGAAGGATGAGGAGTCAGTTCAGGATTATTTATCAAGGATCACATCCTTGGTTCAACAAATGAAGTCCTATGGAGAGGAGATCAAACCTTAGCAGGTGGTTAGCAGGTAATGAGAAGCCCTACACCTAAATATGGTCAGCTTGTGTATGCTATTGAAGAAGCTAAAGATCTGGAAAGCTACACCTTTGAAGAGCTCAAGGGATCTCTTCAGGCTTATGAAGAAAGAAACAATGGTGAGGCTGAAAAGAGTGAAGAACAAGCTTTTCAGGCCCAAAATGAAGCACATAGTGGTCAAGCCTTCCAGTTTCCAAGAAGGGGAAGAGGAAGAGGTAGAGGACGCTTTAGAGGTGGTTATGGTGGAAGAGGCGCGGAAAAGGATCCTCTAGCCATGGAGGAAGACAAGCTAGTCCAAAACATCCCATTAAGTGTTACTGTTGTAACAAAAATGGTCATAAAGAAGCTGAATGTTGGAGAAAGAATCCAGACTTGGTCCCTAATGTCAATTTTCTCGCACTTAAAAATGATGTAGTATAGTGGTGAAAAGTACGAGTATCGTCTCCACAGGGATGGACAAAAGGGAATTAAAGATTAATTAAATTCAGCGATTAAAAAGAAATAAAATAAAATAAAATGCAATTGTGCGAGATTGATCGGTTGAGAAAAATAAACTAATGCGAATGAGCGACTTAAAATAAAGCTTGGTTTCTTTCTAATTAACGATGAAGGGAACATGGATCGATTCCGGGGTAACCAGATTTCTGACAGAACAGGCCTAATTACATGAAATTTAATTTAATTGAGTCTAGCTAATCATTACTAAGTTCTTACCGTTTTCGCGGCGTAGAGTAAAATAATTTAGGGGACCAGGCTGATCTCTCATGCGACAGTATCCTAAAGTATTGCCAAGACGAGCGAGTTTACGACCCCTTAATCGCTACTAATCTCTTAGCGAACGATTAAGTGGGTGTGAATGTGTCCTAGAACAAATTAGATCTCTCTTAATTCATTCTACATGCAATTGTAATTCTAGCCGTGGTTCCAGATTACGAAAGATATCAGTTTAATTATTCACACACAAATTAAACGGCATTCATGCAATTAAACCGACTAAAATCTAGCCATACATCATGATTAACCCTTTCATCAATCCCAAATCCCTAATTAAACTACTCACAATTCATAATTGAATAATCAACAGAATTCGGAAGAATAGAATTAATTGTCATTAATTAAAAAGATGAACTTACAAATAATCCCAGGGTCTTGGAGTAAACAATGATAAAAACGGAAGCAAATTCGTTTTTATCAGTGAGATTATCAGTGTTAGCATACGTGAGATTATCAGTGTTACGTGAGATTATCAGTGTTAGCATACGCAGGTGTTAGTTGTATACTCATAGAAAATTCATGTCAAATATTTTCCAAAATTTTTCCTTAAATTGTGTATTTGTGACCTGACTAGAATCTTGATTATGCTTTTAGAATATCCTTGGAGTTTTTAGGCTTAAATTGTTTGCACTATTAAATCTAGTTGTTGAGAAGATCAAAGCACCAATTACACAATTGTTTTCTTTACTTTCCATCCCACATGAATAAGCCCTTTAGGAGAAGCCACTTTGAGCCTGACCATTCTGTTGTTTACCCATAAATTGAGCTTCATGGCCAAATGATCTGTTTCCTTACCCGTGAATAATTCTGACAAAGTCTTGGTGTTTAGGGAACTAGGGGATTAATTTGCTAAGTTTAGGGAGTTTTGTAGGAGCCACTCATGACACTGTTCTTATGCCCCAAATGGGGTAAGAACAGTCATTTTTTAGCACAATTACTATAAGCTTTTTTTATCTAATCTGATCTCTTACATTATCTTTACTTCAGCCAATGCATAATTCTTTATTTCATTTTTTCTCAACATTAAATCTATAACAAATTATATAAATAATACACACTGTGTATTATTATACATTAAAATTAAAACATACACACTGTAAGATTAAGACTTACTTTTGAAATTTATTATATCCTGACTTGAAAAAGAATCAAACGTCATGACGACAATTGTAAATGAAATTTCAAAAAGTAAATGAAGACATTTATTAAACAAATAATTAATTAACTACTATTCAAATTAATAATGATTTAGGAATAATAAATTACCTGTTTTTTTACAATAAAATTTTAAGGGTTTCTTTGTCATACATAATCTGACATTGTGTATTGAAAACACCAATTCTAACAACCCCAAAAGGCCGTGGTTTCTTCTCATTATTGGGATCAACATTTTTTGTAAATTATTACGAGCAATATAAATGTTTTTAATAATCATAAAATTTGAACCATGTATACATACAAATAATAAAGGACGTAACCTACTTATAATATTATAAAAACAATAACATAGCTCATACATTCCTTAATTCATTCAAACGAAAAATCCCAATTCAGATTATAAAAGGCCCAAATATTTTTGGACGTCTTTACCAAACCCAACCCAGCCAATTTAATTGAACTATCCCACTTATAAATATATTTAAAGTCCAACCTAACACAACGCCCTAATGTCCCAATATAAAAAACCTTAATCATTTGACATTTCAAACATCACTACACCCTTCTGAAGACTCATCTTATACCAATGAACCCTTCTTATTTCTGAATCCTATAGACGAATTTATTGATCAACTTCGACCTCACCAATTTCTGTTAATATGTTGATTTTCTTCATGGCTTGAATGTCAGACTCCATGGACGGTGTTGATTCCTTTTTTTTATTCCCAAAATGCACCTGAGAAGGTGTGATAAATGTCGGGGAACATTTATCTTATTTATTTAAAAAAAGATTTTACAAGAATAGATTAAAACAATACAAGTAAACTGTAAAAGATAAGAGGAGGAAAAATTATAATAAAGAATAAATGGCCCATCGAACGCGTCCCAAAGGGCCCAACCATCTATTTCCACACTCGTCCAAACCATGAGAATAAACCAACCGTGAGGAACATAATTCGTCCAAAACGGAATGTCCCCAAACCCTAGCTTCCAACGTTTAGAGAGACAGAGAGAGCTTGTGAGAGACATTCATCGTAAGATTCAGCCGGCATCCCTGAAGTTGCGGTGTTGATTCCCTTTTTTGGTATATATCTTATTTCGAATATCTACTTCCTCGATTAGTGATAACATTTGTGTATGTTATGTCTCGCATGTCCATTGCATACCTATTTTCATATTTATGAGATGTGCTCATCTAATTTAAAAGATGTTGATATGTCATATAAATCTTTTGAGTGATTGATTAATTTATATAAATTTTGCAGAGTCTTTAGAGTTTTGATATATTGAGTTACTTGACTTGATAGAGGATATATATAGATCTATTCGGATCTATATTTTTGTTACACAGTCTTTATGTAATTGAGCTCTGTACCATGCGTGACGGATGGACAATGACTATTTTTGGTAATCATGGTCACTAAATTCGAATTCCAAACATAGTGACACCAACATATTGTAATCTCTAAGATAATGAGATCTGCATTACCTAAAATGTCACACATAGGAGTGTTGTAAAGTTTTGTCTACTATTACGAATTGATATTCGCGTGCAAGAAGTTTCTTTCCAGATTTTCAATATTTTATAATAGCGTGTTTTT